AGTGAGTGAGTGAGTGAGCGTCGACCAGCACTTACGGTGCGGCCTGCCTCCCACGTCCCTCTTAACATCTCAGAGGGTCTCCGCAAACGTCATAGCCCCCTCCGTCACAGAGTTCAAGTGCAGGAGAATTAGCCAATGCAGACAGGTCATTGTGTTAAACCATGGTGTACGGTGTGCAACCCCACAAAAACTGTGAAAACATAGGTCTTAGGATACACCTGGAAAAAAATTCAGTGGTCGAGGCACAAGGGGCCAGGAATGAATTGGGTTTGAACAATACTGATAATTCCGGCATGCACCAAAAATGCAGCAAGTAGTCGACAGATGCAAACAGCATCAAGGAGGTGAAGCCGTGCGGCCAGTGCCGAGGGAGTGATGCTCCATGCACAAAGGGCACACACAAGGGCGACCCCAAAGGCGCGCGCCATGTGCCGAGGCAACAGTGTTCCAGCATCGAGGGCGAGCACGCCACCAAGCAGGTCCAATAAAGTTGTATCACAAGTATACCAGGCTGCCGCAGAAATAAACGGCACAGAGGCACATCCCTGGAAGAAATTTCAGAAAGCCGGTGGCAAAAGCGTCAATCAAGCGAGCTGTCGACGCTTGTGGTGTAAGCGTGGAATACCTCACATATACACTGGACGCCCTCATCCCCGCGACCCCATGCATGGTGTCCAACATGTCCAAACGAGCTTTCGATGCATGTTGTAGGTGTGGAAATCATAATGATGGTTGCATGCTTGCTTCACGACGGCCCGCGACCTTGTGCGGAGGCCAAGTGGTGTTACATTGCATATCCCGCAGACTCGTGAAGTGGACGAAGTATCTGAGATAAAATATTCTGTCGTGTGGCTTGCCATGTGAGAAGTTCTTGTTGGTCATGCAGGAGCGGTGCTTTGCACTCCGGTGTGCAACGCGAGGCCAGTCACACCGTCTTGAGTTAGTCTGAACATATTGCTGGGATGCCGAATGGACTGCTCGATGTTCTCTGCGCCCCACATATTCATGCCATAGTCGTACCTTCTCAGTGGCTCGCAGTAGAAGTGGAAAGGCTTTGCTCACCAGGCACGTCGAACTGGCAGCGACTGGCAGTGTAGCCAGGACACTCGCCCGACTCGTGCCACCAACGCTTAGAGATGGCAAAAAGACCTCAGAGCAGAAGGATATATTCTCCGATCAGAGTCGTGCGCGCTAGTGCGCCCCGCCTCCGCTCATGCACGGCACGATGTCGCTGCCATCTTCAAACCAGTTGAAGAAAAGTGTCCAATCGAACCTCGACTGTCGGAGCTTGCATTTGATTGCCATCTTGCCGCACTCCGCTACCACATGCGACATCGGGACATCATCTTCACACCAATGGCATTGTTGTTGACTTCCCAGGTGTCCGCATTCAGGATGGGTATCAACGGAACGACCACGCCTCGGATTTTCAGGGGTCACCCTCGGCCTGAGTTGTCCTGAAGATTGCAGCAACAGCCGGTACTAAGAGTTCTTTTGACAACGGTCGTCGAAGTCTTCATTTTTCATAGTCGTCGTCGTCGGCAGCGGCAGCCGCTGCAATCGCGGTTCCTAGTGACCTATTTTGGGCAGTAGCGGTTGCCTCGAAGGCTGTGCAAGAAGTAGTATGATCACCGCGCGAAAGGACCTCCCGGATTCCACGACTCCCAGGTTCGCCAGCCTACGCAGCCCTACAAAAGGGCCAGGCTGCGCTTGTAGTTTTGGCCGATGTGTCTCAGCAGCGGTATGTGCCAGCCTCTCCACAGACGGAACAGAACAGCAGAGTGGTCCATGCTCGGCACCTTAAGCACGGCTTGGCCGAAGGCCCTTTGCGGCCGCTTTTGTGGCTAACGACGCCTCTTCCCGGCATAGCAGAAAACACCACAAAGAAACCACCAGAGAGAAACCCGCCGAAGTGAGCTCCATACCAGCGAGGCCTGGAACAGGTCGGACGTGAGCATCTAAGAACATGATGACGTCCTGGCGTGACACCGTCTTGCGGCACAAGAGGGTGCATGTCAAAAAAGAGCCAGGGAGCGGAAGCGGCGGCACAGGAATGATACAACAAAACAAGGATTCTGACGCAAGGTTTCGAAGGTAGAACTGATGTTCACGGACCCCACGAAGCTCAATGGTCAAGTACACGGAAGCCCGACCAGCATCCGAATCCGAAGAGAAGCAGACCGATCAGGCAAAAGCCAACATCGTCCCCTCCAGGAAGATGAAACATCACATCACCAACAACGCTCGCAAAGCTACATACATGGACGATGCTTTCTGGTGTCTCAAAGCTTGGCATCAGTAGTAATCCACGGAGAGGACACGAAGAGGATGACGAGCGAGCTTCAAAGAGAAACTGTCATGAAGGGAGGTGATTCCCGAGAACCCGAACCCAAGCCAAGAAGGACTTTTCTTGCGCAGGCTTCAAGCAGGAAAAGTCGTGCATCGCATGTGTGCTTCCCATCAACTACAACTGCACATTCATCCCGTGAGAAGTGCAACGTGCTTTACGTGCTTGTACGTCTGATCGAACTGCCCGAGGCCCGGACCCCCGTCGCCCGATTCCCGCCCTCTGTCTTGGACTTGATTAGGCCGCGGCGGCTTTCATGCCGCAGCCTTTGGTCTGCAAGAGTCACCATGTTCGAACACTGAAGGCTACAAGCAACCGTGTAGTTTAAGTTTCAGGCTACCTTGGAATCCGAATTCCCGATCAAAACTGCAACTGTGGCAACTATGTAACTATGGCTTCAATGCAAGACATCCGAAAACAAGCTGCGCATTTGACCCAGGTGCAGCTTCACAAGGCTATAAGAAGTCACCAGGGGTGCAAGTGGTGGAGAGCTGCCGTCGTCCACCTCCGATGGCAACCGCAGAGGAGCAAAGAAAAGCACCACAACGCAGAATGCCGAAGGGCAAGGATGATCTCCACCAGCGCATCCAGCGGAGTGCTGTCGATAATGGAGTCGAGCCTTCTAAGCTCCCCGAGCTGCATTCTGGAAGGATTACGCATCACGCTCCAAGGCCAAGTGCCCGGCGTTCGCTTCAAGTACCTCGGCAAAACTCTGGCTGCATCTCACATCAGAGTAGCCTCAAGAACAATGAAGTTGTTCACCGTGATTGTGCGAGGACAGATGCATATCATCATAATGTTGATATTTATGACAATCCAGAAAAACATGGTTAGGCCAATGGTTGTTTGCTCGTTCTGAAAATGTGTAGTTCAGTGCCTCGCACTGCATACCATGATTATTGCTATTGGCCCCAGGCCACTAATCCTGCTTCCTAGGCTGTGTTGGGACGCGAACCATATGAAGGATGTGAACCGTCTTGTGATTTCGCTTTCGTAAAAACATTGTAGATTGAAGATGCCCCGGTTAGTTTTTTGGTGGGTTTTGGAGGTTTTTCGGAGTGATTTCATTTTGTTGTTTGGCAGCCTTCTGTTTCAGGCTAGCTGCGGTGCAAGTGTTTTGGAGGGCTTTCTGTTTATAGCTAGATAGGTTGCAAGTCGTTTGTAAAGCCGTCTGATTGGGTCAGCTCAGTTACGCGTGCGTTTCAAGCACCACCTCCAAGTCGTTGGCAGAGAGCTGCCTAGCCTTTGAGAGCACAGCTGTCCCCACATTGCTGGATGAAGATTGATGGCAAAAAGATGGAGTGTGCACTGGAATGTATCAATTAGCAAAACTTTCTGCTCCTATCAGTCAATCCCCTCTGTGGTAGATAGAGACAACCCCATCCCCCTCCCGACAAATCTAAAATTAAAGCAGGCCCGTCTCGGATGGAGAGCAGCCCCTAATCATTACTCCAGACTCACTAGGAAATCACTCCTGGGTTCGCAGAGACCACAAAATCTAGGACATCAATTCTGGTTTTGCAGATGCTAAAAACACACTGTGCCGAATCACTCTAAAATCACTCCGTTCCTAGGAATGATTCTGGAGTGATTTTGCAGGACTTCTAGGAGTCTGACGAGAATCACTCCAAAATCACAAAACTCTGAAATCAAAATCGAAGGATTTTAGGAGAATCATTCCAAAATCACTCCGCTCCTAGGAAGAATTGAAATTTCGGAGATTTGAAGTTTCCCTAGCAGCGGATTGATTTCGGAGTGGTTTTTTTGGAATGTTTTTTTGGAGAAATTCTCCGAAAAGCTCCTGCAAAAACAGGAGCGATTTCCTAGTGACGTGATTGTGGAGTGATTCAGCATGCGCAGAACCTGCAGCGATATAATATTGGAGAACCCTGGATTATCCGAGTCTTCGAGAATTGGGTCTGATGCGCGGGGTTCTGGGATGAGGGGATATTTCCAAGGTTTGTCCATCGCTCATGATGTTGGAACCAAAGCGAGCCTATCAAAAAGAAAGCAGGAAAGCATTGCAAAAGAGATCGAACAAGAGCTAGCCATAGAAAAGCACTACCGAAGAGCTCGAACAAGAGCTAGCCTTAACAAGCCTATGTAACAATCACGATCCCAAATCACTATGACAACTGCGAAACCGCTAGAAAAACATTATGTTGATGGCCACTGTGAATACCACAAACGGATGTCACAAGAATAGTAGCACTGCTTCACAACAACAGCAACAAGAAAAACACTGACAACAATCGGCACTACAAGTAGCACCAGCAGTAACAAAAACAAGAAAGCAGAACATCAACCATTTCCGCGCGGCAACAGCAACAAAACAACGGCAGAAGAGCAGCATGAGCGGCAGCATGGTGGTAGGAGCAGCAGCAGCATGGTTGTAGGAGCAGCTGGCAACAACAAGCATAAGAACAACGACGAAGACAACCACCACAACAACGACAGCAGCAGCAGCAGCAGCAGCAACAGCAGCAGCAGCAACAGCAGCAGCGGTAGCAGCAACAACAACAACAACAACCACAACAACCACAACCACAACCACAACCACAACCACAACCACAACCACAGCCACAGCCACAACCACAACCACCACAACGACCACGACCATGACAACGACAACAACGACAACGGCAGCTGCAGCAGCAATCATCGTGTGGAGCTGTAACTGCCATATGTCTCAACTTAATGAGCTGGTTCCACCACAAGGCATCCTTCTTCCCATTGCGAATGTCATTGTTTGGATAGCTGCTGCCATTGCTGCCAACATGACTACTACAACTTCTGCTCGAAGTTTCGAATCCAAAGAGCTGATGCTCGTTGTGCGCTGCCATGACCTCAGAGCGATTCAGAGCGGACTTCCACATCTCAGGCGGCGGTGCTCACCACGAACACAGGGACTGCTTTGATGTGGCAACGGGTAACGACAACCGCAATCGTACACTCGAAGTGGCTGGTGCGCCTGGGAGTGATTACAGGAAGAGTGGCTAGTTGCGGGCTTGCCATGCTCAAGCTCCGGCTGCCCAATACATGCCGCTTCCTCAGGCCGCGTTGAGCCGGGCTGCGATGGAAATCGTCGCGGCAGTCGCGGAGCCATGTCTCGGGATTTCCTGGCCACAAACAAGTTGCACACACTCTGCCATTGGAGATGAAAGCGCACGTCCAGCAGTTCAAGCCCCGACATCGTCAGGATCAAGCTGCTAGACTCAAGCTGCTGTGCAGAGACGGGAGGCAACAAAGGATCTGCACAGCCTCAGCGGCAGTGGTGGAAAGAAAGTGGACAACAGCTGGACAGGTGCCATCGCCAGAAACTGAGAGGCATGTGCAGATCTGAGACACTACACTTCCCGCTTCCGGGACGACAAACAATCAAAACTTCAGTTTCCTCGCCAAGGCATGGTCCAAAACTTCCTGCAACTTCGAGCAAGGGCGGCGCCACCTGCAAAAAACCGAGCAGCATAGACCAAGACCAGATACACGGGGTACGGCAGGCAGCGCCTCCTGTCAGGCTTCAGCAGACTGCGGAGACTAACTTGCCGGTGGAAGGGCTGTCCCATCTAGACAGTCCTCTGTCGATACAGCTCGATGGCCAGCGATATCAAGCCTGCCGTTCGTTCCACTGAAAGCACAGCTGGGCTTGCAAGAGGTTCCACGAGAAACACCGAGTCTGAGCCCCGACCATCAACCACCAACAGCTCGGCACGAACAGGAAGGAAGCAGACCCATGAGGATGAAGGAACACGTCCTAGAGTGCAAAACGTGAGGACCCTGATGCAAAGAAGTGGCTGCTGGCAACAAGCGTAGCTGCCAGCGTTCCTCAGTCAAGTAGATCACGCACACCAAAGGCACACAATAGTGGCGACGTCAGCTAGGATTCCGGATGGCCCATGCCATACGTCCATCATGCGTGTTGCTCTCTGTTCTCATACATAGGTACTCCATGCCACTCTGGCACCCCAGCACCGCGAATGTTTTTGCCCTGGCAGAGGGGGGGGACGTATGTATGGTGCGTATCTGAGGGTTCCTAATGCAGTAAGAACCCAGGGCTGGGGGTAAGCAAGGACGGGTGCAGGGCGTAACGGGAACCCAAATCCGACGCAACAGGAGCCTGGTTGCCACAATCGGCCGAGCTGGCCACAGGAGTCCGAATGAATAGGACTGGGGGAGCTCTGTCAGCTGTAGGTACCCTCTTACGTCGGTTATCTATATATCGTGTCACAGACGCACATACACGTAGGTACACGCGCGCACGTACATACGCACATACGCACCCACCCCCACCCCACTCCCCATTACGTACAAGCAGGTGCGCACGTACCTTGGGGTTCCTAATGGCGTCTGCAGTACGGAAAGACGGAAAGAAAGACAGACAGAAAGCGCGAGAGAGAGAGGGAGAGACAACAAAAAAAGGAAAGAACAAAATGGGCAAGGAGAACTGCCCAGCCCTGTCGCAGCCAGGCGTCGGTCGAAGGCACAGAGGAAAGCTCCGGTTGGCACGGCGAAAAGCAGCAGCAAGAAGAGGATGTCCCGCACCAGGAGCTGGGATGAGCTGGCTTTGAAGCGGCGGCTCCAGACATGTTCTGAAATTAGAAAGAGAACCTCTTCAGCGGTCGGGTGTAGACCCTCCCGTCTTCCTGCTATCCCACGCTCTAAAGCTGCAGCTCGGTCACGGCTTTGCCTGGCCCCGGGCCAACCATGGCGAAGCATTGGATGCACTTCTAACGGATTCTAACGGAGGCTACGTCCAGCTCGGCATAAGGGGTCATGTGGTATCTTGGGAGTTTCTGCAACTCGTGCACGAAGGAGGTCAGGACGAATGCATGCTGCATGCATGATGCAGTGATGATCCTGAATCCCAAAGCCAACTGAGTCATAGTCCGCAATATGTCAAGACCAGAGCACCGGCAGATTCCTTCAAGCTGTCATTGCCTGCATCTTTCTGCACGTTCATGGCTTGAAAGCGCTAACCTGACGGTAGGTTTAGGAAGAGTATGTGTAGCATTAGCCTTCGCAGGCGTTGCAGAACTTCAGCCTCGGACCCGTCAAGTGGCCCACATCACTGCGAGTTGCCTGTGCCATGCTCGAGATACTGCATGCGCGACGAAGCAGATCACTGCGTCGACTTGAAGCTTATACCCACACGCTCGCCATCTCTCATGAAGCCTGTGCTGAGCGACCGGGCAGCAGCCTAGTCAACTCACACTTTCTCTCAAGATCACAGCCTTGGAATCGCTGTGAGAAAGCACGCCACTGCTTTCTGCAACCCTCTCCGAGGCCGTCACTTTGCCGCAACTCATGCTGGCATGCACATCTCCGGCACAACAAATTGCTGGCGTTAGCACGCCTACCTCCCAAAACCTGCTGCCGATTGCTGCTGTATGGCACCTGAATGCACCTGAGGGGTTGGGAATTTGCACGACCTGCTTTCTGAGGTATCGGGTCAGGTTGAGATGACATGCAAGCTGAAGGCATGTGTAGGCTGCCACATTCTGGCATGAGCGGATCCCGAGTCACTTCCTCTTTTCGCGGACAGCTCAACTTGGTCTCAGAGCCACATAGTAGTCTACGCACTCAACGGGCAGAGCTCGAAAAAAGGGATGAAGGCTGGGTCGGATCTCTTTAAACAATCCCGTCCGTTGAATTCGTGCATCTCGCATGACTGCCATCCCTGTCGGAATGTTCCGGGAAGACTGTCAAGGGGACGCGTGCATGTCCTGCAGCTGTGACCTAGGGCGTAAGAACTACACGACCACTTGCGCAATGCCAGCTTCGATGTCCTGAATGATGCACTGGGGAGCTGCATGTGGGAGCAATGAGCAACAGGAAAAGGTGCGCCTGCTTCTGCTGAAGGCCGAGGGGCAAGTCCCCATTGAAAGCCACAAGCAAGACCACCGCATTTGGTGGTATATGTCTGGCGGCAGAAACACGAATGATCTCGAGCCCTGGCACTGGTGCTGATCTGGTCGCCAGCCCAGTGCAGCAAACAGCACATACATCAAAAATCACACGATCCAACAGCAAGCGCCCTACCACCCGAGCACTCGCCCGAGTTTTCAGACCGTCTCAAGGGTAGGTCAGGGCACCCAGCAAAAGAGCAGAAGGGTTCGTGATTGCAACCTAGGCATGATTGTGTCTTGTCCTGCTTCGCAATGTCTCATCCCAGCGACAGCAAACACGAGCGTGATCAGTCTCCAGCAGAAAATGGCGGTCACAAATCAGAGAGCAACAGCATGTTGTTGCGGTACAAAGCGTGCACAAGTCAGATGCTGCGATTTACATTCACCGGGTCCCAAACACCTGACGAACTGATGTTTTGCATATGCTATGTATCTCGACTCAGCTCGTCGCTCAGATCCCGTAGCATGCGCTGAGCTGCTCGTCGTCGTCGTAGTAGTAGTAG